TGCCTGGCCCAGTAACACCTGATTTTTTTTTTTTCTTTTGTATGGGGGATTGAACTCAGGACCTTGTGCTTTCCACACAGGCAGTGGAACCACTGAGCTAAATTCCCGGCCCTTGACTTAGAATTTGTAAGATTTACAGTGATGCAAAGCAACAAGTATTTAGTAGAAACGGCTTTGAATTTTGATCTTCTAGGCGAGTGATATATAGCATAGTACTCCTCTGATGCTGGGCGGCTTTTGTATGGGGGATTGAACTCAGGACCTTGTGCTTTCCACACAGGCAGTGGAACCACTGAGCTAAATTCCCGGCCCTTGACTTAGAATTTGTAAGATTTACAGTGATGCAAAGCAACAAGTATTTAGTAGAAACGGCTTTGAATTTTGATCTTCTAGGCGAGTGATATATAGCATAGTACTCCTCTGATGCTGGGCGGTGGCAGTGTGCCACTTAGCCATATGATCAAAAAGATAAACCCTAAAATGTATGTTGTGTTACTAAGTTGTGTTTGGTAGGTTAGGTGTATTAAATGCATTTTCGGTTCAGCATAGGTTTATTGGTATGTAACCTATTGTAACTCAAAGAACATCTCTACCAGTGCTGGTGAACCTATGGCATGTGTGTCACAGCAGGTTATATTGAAAGCTCCAAAAAGTTCACCGCTGCTCTAAGGAGCTCACATAAACCGGTTTTAGTGGCACATGGCCTGTAATCCCAACACTTGAGTTCATAATTGACTACCAAAAAGCTACCTCATGAAAAGGAAGATTGTGACTATAGTATAAGTAAGGCATGTGGCATATAGACATAATCTACAAGGCTGGGGATTTAGCCTACCTTACAACCACAAGGTCCCAAATTCAATCCCTGGTAAAAAAAAAAAAAAGACAATCTACAAAGTAGGTTATGATTAGGGCAGCTGTAGTTACATAAGCACAAAAAGTGAAAAGCAGAACTACTTCAGATGAGCATAGAAATAGGTTATATAATAACTATAGGAATCCTAAGTACAGATTGTCAAGATTTCAGGGAAACACTAAAATTTAGAAATTAGGGTAAAAATGTAGAAGCAAAATTTTTGAAATGATTAGTATGTTAATGGGGATAAGGTATATCAGCATCATGGAAGTTTTGAAGACAGGTTGAACTCTAATCATGCATGTAACCACTGGTGGGAATGATCAAGTCAGAGCTGCCCTGCATTGAGACATGAATTACAGCCCCATCCTGAATTCAAATAAAATGCAAATGACCACAATGAAAGCCAGGCATGGTGGCACATTCCTGTAACCTAGCACTTGGGAAGCTGAAAGAGGATTATCCTGAGTTGTAGGCCAGCCAGGGCTAAGGAGTTAAAGTTAACAAATGAGACCCTGTCTCAAACCAAGAGAGAGAGAGAGAAACAAAGAAAATCTTGGGAGTGAAATTATTTCAAGTCCTTAAAAAATGTACCCTGCAAAATTATCTTTCAAAATTGATGGAGGTGGCCAGGGATGTAGCTCTGGTGTTGCACCTGCCTGGCAAGCACAAGGTCCTGAGTTCGATCCCCAGTACTGGAAAAAACAAGTTGATAGAGAATAAGATACTTCATGACAAAAAACAACTGAAGAAATTTCATGACCACCAAACTAGCACTCCAAAATGTTCTGAAGGACATTCTAGAAAAAGATGAGGACTACAACTCCGTGAACCCCTACAGGATGAATCCACCAGGCAAGGCAAGTAATTACACAAGAACAAAAGGGAACCAATAACAGAAAAGTAACGTGACAAGGATAAGTCTATGTTATCAGTTGTATCAATGTAAATGGTCTCAATTCAGCAATCAGACTGGCAGAATGGATCAAGAAGCAAGATTCAACAATACGCTCTATACAAGAAATATATTTATTTCAAAAAATCATAGACTGGAAAGCAATACTCTATGAAACAGGAAACTAGAAAAACGGTGTAGCTACTCTATTGGCAGACAAAGCCAAGATTAAGAAAGACAAAGAACAGGCCAGGGATTTAGCTTAGTGGTGTTACCACCTGCCTCCCAAGCATCAAGGTCTGGAGTTCAGTCCCCAGTACCAAAAAAAACAGACAAGGTCACTATGTCCCTGTAAAGAGAACAATCCAAGAAACACATAACAATCATATTTGGAGCTGGGCGTGGTGGTGCACCCCTGTAATCCCAGCACTCAGGAGGCTGAGGCAGGAGGATCACTGAGTTTGAGACCAGCCTGGGCTATGTAGTGAGTTCCAGG